TGCAGAAGCTCTCTGAATCAATATAGGAGATTTCACCGTTAATTAAAATGTCTTTATAATACTTTTAATTTGGGGAAACACTACTAACTCCTTCTAGTCACGCTACTGCATTCGAGACATTGTTCTTGTTGGGGCAGTCTCTTTCTAAATGACCGAAATTTCGGCAAGCATTACATCTTATTTTCCTTTGTCCATGACGGTAACATTTATTGGACTTATGGCCAACCTTGCCACATTTGAAGCATTTTATCAGACCTCGATGCCTCTCTCTGACTGGAATCCTATTGCCACGGCTAGTGAATGGATAATTGATTTTAAGCAAACTATTTAAAGAGCTGAGGTATTGGAACAACGCCTCCGGGGCTTGGTAGTTTCCAGCTTTGGCTGCAGTCTTCACCACCATGTCATGAATTCCGCCAATAATGCATACTACGGTGTCATTACCAGATATTTTACCCTGGGTTCACTATTTTTAGAAATTGGTGAAAAAAATTTATTAAAACTTCATGAGTGAGGATGGTTTCTACCCTTCAGAAGCGGAGCAAGTAAATACTACTCTTGCCGATTACTTGTACGTCTTTAGCAACTACTTTGCGCCTAGTCGCATTGCTTAACTATTTTTGGAATTTGCTGAAGAAAATCAATTAACATTTTTTAGGCGAGGGTAATTTCTACCCCCCAGTAGAGGCGTAAGTAAATACTACTCTACCCTATTACCTGTACGTCTATAGCAACTACTTTGCGCCTAGACGCATGTTTCACTATTTTTGGAAATTGGTGCAAAATTAATTAGTTTTTATCTTAGGCGGAGGTAGTTTCTACCTCTCAGAAGCGGAAGTAAATACTACTCTAGTCTATTATGTGTACGTCTTTAGCAACTGCATTACGCCTAGCCACATTGCTTAACTATTTTTGGAACATGGTGAAAAAGAACATTAATTAAAATTTCTTGAGTGAAGGTAGCTTCTACCCCTCAGACGCACCGCAAGTAAATGCCAGTATAGTTCACTTAATTTTTATAGAACTGTGTAAAAAAGTATTTAAAATATTTTGTTTGAGGATAGTTTGTACCTCTCAGAAGAGGCGCAAGTGAAGTGCAGTTAATAATAATATTTACAGGGTGTTAGAAGTTTGACTGCCTTAATTTTAACAGACAAAAAACCTTATATTATGGGTCCTAAACTCATCCATTTTCGAGAAAAAAATTACATTCACATAACTGCGTGCATAGAATACCATAAAATACAATGTTTATCACCTTTTTAACTTCTTTACGCTTAATTCTAAAAAATAATTAGCGTTGTAATAAATTCAAAATTCGATAAAATTCATATCGAACAATGTGACAACGGCGCGGCGGTTAACACGAGGTACTAAGCAATCCAATAACTAGCAATCGCAATTCAGTTCATAGATAAAAGAGTTAATTCGGTAGGTAACTGGAATTTAATCCTGACGGAGTGTTCTTTGCTCACCACTATTTCCTTTTCTTGAGGTGTTTCTCTTTGCTTTTTTAAAATGTTTACCATACGTGATAATTTTCCAGCGAGTGCGCGGATATTGAATTCGAAGGTGCCGTACGTGCATCGAAAAGGGTGGTGGACATTTTGAGCATATGGTGTGGTTTGTTTTGTATTTGTGCGGTTAAAAATTACTGAATTTTGCTTTTTGGTAAATACCTAAATTATTTTTAATATGTATGACGACGTGAATCTTTAGGTACTTTAAGTAATTACATATTTTTCAAATTCATAATTTAACTAAAAGTTAAGTTCCTGTTTTAAGAGATTCACAATTACTAAAATTCGAGCTAAAATTTAAGCACAATATTTCGTACTACAAAATCGATGCTATCATCATCATCATCATCATCATCATTTTCATTTTAATTTATTTATTTACAAACTATAATATAATTATTGTCTTGAAATTTACTAAATGTTTCACAATAATGTTAACATTTTTTGTTATTGTAGGACAAGACTGCGATGTGCACACGTGGTGTGGCATCAGTTGTGTAACATTAAGTTAAGCGTTGTTGTCACGTTGTGATGGAACTTCCCAATATTAATAATCGCTGTATTTTGAAAACTGTTAATGTTACGCCCCTGTAACATATAACTTTTTTGTTCGTTTATGATTGTTCTTCATGCTGAAGTAATAACATTCACACTTCTTACACCTTGTATATGTATGTATAATATAATAATATTTATATGTATGTTTCAAGGAATTACATTCCACCAGTGAAATGGAATGAAAAAGGCTGCTAAATTGGCTGCTAACACCATGCGAAAAGAAACTGGCTGCTGAATATTTTGGCTGCTAAGTTCGCACCTGTTTCTTGTTGGAAGTTATTATGTTAATAATAGAAGCACTACAAACTTACCCGATGTTTTTAATTCATCTTCTACTCGTATTTAGCCTCTTTCGATGCTTTTTTCTATAAACATTTAAAACTATGTGTAAACAATTCGTTACTTGTTAAATTTGTTCTTTACACATTTTTTTTTTATTCCAGGCTTCTAGTTAGAGCACCACTTGGCCAGAACCTTCAACCTGGATCGAATCATTCCGGGGCCCTTTTCAAATGCCCAGTATCAAATTATGACGATAACTGTGAACAAGTCGAAACTGATGGAAAAAGAGGAATAGAAGAGAATGTTGCACCTTGGGCCAGCTTTCACTTTGAAGGGTGTAAGTTCTGTATTTGAATTATTTAGATGTGTATGTTAATAGTGAACAAATCTATCATTTTACTCTTTATACAGGGTGTTCCACCTAAGAGGGATTCTTCTGTAACTCTGCAACTATAAAATTTATAAAAAAAATGGTTTTAATAAAAGTTGCCTGGAATCATGTGGGCCATGTAAAGAAAATATTTTTAGCTTTATATGGTGTTCCATTTCGTGTGGGCGCTAAATAACTTTGTTCATGGCGTTTAAAACTCACCGTTTTCGAGATAATCAGTTTTTGAAAAAAAAATACAATTTCAGCTCTCTAAATGAGACTAGATAGCGTCTAAACCATAAGAGTTAGAAACCTGCAGTTTTCACAGTTCGTTTTGGCATCAATTACTCTATCTTATCATCTATGAGCAAAACGTGTATGTTATTGAGACTCGGAAATACTGATACCTACATTTAATAATGTTACGAGTTGAAAAAACTTTTTTTTTCACTTGGAATTACCCATATTAATTGTCATGGGTGAATGCAAAATTGAATGCCCTTTCGACTGATATAAGATTGTCCATACTTATCTGTAACAGTTTACCAGAAAAATCAGGTTATTTTCTAAAGTCCGAAAAAGTAGTTATGTAATAGCGTCAAGAAGACCTTGCAAAACCACTTTTCGTTTTATCAGGCCTGGGACTGACAGTGTCAATGTTTACTGGCATGTTTAAAAAGTGGTTTGACAAACAATAGTAAACCACTAATAACAACTAAAACAAAACGCAAAACGAAACAAACTGAAACTCGGAACACAACAAGGAGAAGAATACTTAGACCGCTAATTTACATCAATTTTTTGTCCATTTTGATTAATACATAAACGAATTAGTTTTTTAAAAGACTGCTCAACATTGGTCAGCATGTCTGGCGTAATTTCTTGAAATACTACTGTAATGCGCTGCTACATATCTTCCGCAGTAGTTGGAGGTGTAACGTAAACTTTGCTTTTTATAAATCCTCATAAAAAGAAGTCGCAACTTGTCTTATCTGGACACCTTGAAGTCCAACTCACTGGTCCCCCGCGCCCAATCCATCTGTTGGGAAAAGTTTCGTGTAAAAACTGACGAACCGCAGCGGTATTGTGAGATGGAGCACCATCATGTTGCAACCACATTCTTCTAAGTATAGCTAAAGGAATGTCGCCTAATAAATCGTCTAGAGTGTTTGTTAAAAAGTTTAAATAAACTGCTCCAGTTAGATGCTGGTCAAAAAAAAATGGTCCAATGACATGGGTTCCCAAAATTGTTCCCCACACGTTCAGACCATCGTTGGCTATGAGTTGTCCGGAATTGGTGAGGATTGACTGTGTTATAATAATGGCTTATGACTATTAACGAAACCATTTTTATGAAAAGTAGCCTCATCGGAGAACATGACTCGTTTAAAAAAAAACATCATCTTGATTTAACATCTCAAGTGCCTACTGACAAAACTTTAGTAATTCTTGGTGTAATTGGATGCGATAAGGATGTGCCGCGCTGTGCTTTTGTAAAATCCTATATATCGACGCTGTACTAATACAATTGCAAGGCCTGCTTGACGCTGTTACATAGCTACTCTTTCGGACTTTAGAAAATAACCTGATTTTTCGGGAAAACTGTTAGAGATAAGTATGGACAACCAAAACTGTTAGGGATAAGTATGGACAACCTTATATCAGTCAAAAGAGCATTCAATTTTGCATTCACCCATGACAATTAATATGGGTCATACCATTTGAAAAAAAAAATTCAACTCGTAAGGTTATTAAATGTAGGTCTCAGTATTTTCGAGTCTCAATAACGTACACGTTTTGCTCATAGATGACAAGATAGAGTAATTATTGATGTACGGTTTAGACGCTATCTTTCTCACTTAGATAGCTGAAATCGTGATTTTGTTCAAAAACAACTGATTACCTCGAAAACGGTAAGTTTTAAACGCCATGTACATTTAATAAACTCTACCTAATATTAACCAAGGAATTCAAAAACGCAGTAATATACAGGGTGTCCCATTTAAAATAATAAAGTTACGTAGCGCCTACGCCGAGCTTAGGCAATCCAACAATGCACGATTAGTACTAGTAACAATGGTAACGAAAATTCCCTAAATCTTTGCGTTATGATTCGTTTACATTGAACAATGACAAACTGTTACGTCTGCACTCGAGATAATGCGATTGCTTATTGGTTGAATAAATTAAAATTCGTTCTTAAATTCTTCTTAAACTCGTATTTCTCATAAAACAATTTTTTTGTAGGTATGAGTGTGAGAGGTTGTCACTTCTCTAACAGAAGTGCATATACTTATATTTCCGGATCTCCAAGATCCAAAATGAAAGGACAAGTTTACTTCTTTGAGAAATATAATAATACAGAATTAAATATATCGTTAATAATTACTGATGAACAATTTGCTTCTAGTTTTGGGTATGAAATGCTCGCTGCTGATGTAAATAATGATGGGTAAGTTATCTTTAGTTATAAATTTATTTTTCTTTTACTAAACTAAGAAATATCCTAATTTGAATGTATTTATTTCAGATATGATGATTTACTAGTAGGTGCCCTTTTTTATTATGGTGAAATGAAAGGAGGTGCTGTTTACATTTATTATAACATTAGAGATTGCAGTTGAGACAACTGCACTTGGGATAAAGTTTTCTATGGAAAGACTCAAGATGACAATTTTGGGGCGAAACTATCTCATTTGTAGTAAATGTGGGCTCGGCACTAAATCAAATTTCACTTAAAAATTCAGGATTATTTAAATATTCAGCCAGTGTACTGTACTGTAGCCAAAAACAAAACTCCAAACACCTTTCTTCATCTCATACTATGGAGAAAATTTGGTTTCTTCTTTCCTTTTTTCTTTTATTTTATTTTTTGCCAGACACCTGATAATTTCTCTAGGGATATTAAGATTTAAAGTAGCCATTCTAATATTAGCCCGGGGATTATTATTAAAATATTGTAAAATTTGGTTATTTCTAAAAATTATATTATATCTAATTTTAAGTAAATTTTTTGAAATACAGCCTGTTTCATTGAAAACTTTACATTAACAATAAATTACCTAATGAGTAATATTATGGCTTATTAATTTTTTATTTAGCTACAAAATCGTTATTATTTAAAAATTTTTGATAATATTTGGTATTGGCCCGTTCTGGGGAGTCCGGAATCCAGTCACGTAAATCTATTTTTCCTCAAAAAATCCCAAATATGAATTATTAGAATTTTACTCCTAAAATCGGACGTAGTACCTACGCCTTGGATTTTGTGGGACCACGCTCATTCTCCTTCACAAAGCACACTTCACCAAACTCTACTTCTTAAAAAAAAATCGATTAAAATCGCATAATAAATAAATATTTTATAGGGTGGTCTAAAAACAAATGGGTTACATTGCAGATTTATACATCACAAAAGAAGATCCATCTGGAGGATAACTATAGTAGGATCGTATTCGATGCAAAGTAGAGCAAAAAGTTGTCGGTCTTTCATCAAAGGGAAATCGTGTCATCATTTTTAGGAGGCGTAAAGCGTAAATTTAAAATGAAATTGAATGTTAAATCTGAAATCCCGCTGCATACGCACTGTGTTCTGGTAGTAGCTGTAGTCGCCTAGGTGCATCGAGTGTACGAAGTGGTTATACGTCAAATACTAACCTGGCGAACTTGATCGTAAAAGAGAAAGCGCCTCCAAAAACCAAGTAAACAACAGTGGCGCGTACAGAGGTAAAATGTAGTACATATGTGGAATTTAAAAAACAAATTGGATTTATAATAAATTATCCTTTCGTCTCTTCATAATGTATAAAAAATTATTCAATTTCTAAAACCTTTAGAAGCGTATGGCACTGGATCCCTTGACATGCAATGATGTATTACTTTGCATCGAATATGATGCTACTATAAGTATATGATGTCTTTCCGATATATTTACAAGGTACGGAAGTAGTTCTGATAACACCCAAATAATATCGTTAATATCCCAACAGCATTTTAAGGATGGCAATAGCTATGTTTGGGATGTAATTCATCGATCCCAACAGATCCTAAAAGAGAACTTCTGTTAGCTGGAATTTTAATGAACTGTTTCACACGAAAAAAAGGGGTATTGTTCGTTTGATCAGACCATATTCTTGTTATGTTTTCGAACTTGCTAAACACGAATCTGAAGTCAGTTTAATGCTTGTACTAACCATTTTCGAGAATATGGGTTATTTGCGAATTTACAGAGCCTTGATAAATATGTTTGCAATCTTCTTGACCATCGAGCTTAGGCAACCAACAATACACTGGGCTGATGTTGGTAACGAAAATTCCATAAATCTGGGCGTCATGCGTCACCAATATTAATGATTCATTTACAATGTACAGGGTTAGTCACTATAATCTGACAACTTATTGTGAGTTTATTATTGAAATTACAAAAAAATTTTTAATACAAAAATTTAAGCTTTTTTATGAATTTTTATAACACAGTATTAGAAAAAACAATTAAATAATGGAAATCACTAAATTAAATAATTTTTTTAATGGAACACTATAATTAGCATACTTAGATTCGTTGAATTTTTCTCTTTTCAAAAATATATAATATGTTTCTGTTTGATTCAGGACTTTTCGACATATTTCAGTTTAAAACTATTTTTGAAAAAATCAGGAGGGAAATTTATGTCTGACGGATCGTAATGGCTATGGACGAGGCACGCGGAATAAACAGATGACTTTGACAGAAGTTTATTTATCATCATTAATTTATTTCCTATAACAAACTATTTTAACAAAGAAATAATATTTATATAGTGAGAACGAAAAATTTAAAGTTATCTTTTAATTTTATGATAATAATAAAAATCATTCTTAACATTAACAAGTCTTAACTTTAACAGAATTTTAATACCTAATTAATAAAAATCAACTAAAACACAAATAGCCACAGATGCTCAATGTTAACGCCATTATTATTGATGCACTTCGTATAATCCTCATTAATTTTCAGAACTGCAGTGCATTTAGTATGAAATGAGAATTAAATTCACTTAAATTTTGTATACATTCATCAACTTTATATCTTAGTTCATCTAAGTTTACACTAGTTTCCTTATAAACCTCGTTTTTTAAGTAACTCCACAGAAAACTGTCCAAGGGTGTAAGGTCTGGGCTATTTGAAGGCTATTGAATATTTCCTCCATTACCAATCCACAAATAAAACCTATTATTTAAATAATTTCGTACTGCTCTGGTTCTATGCGGAGGCACTCCGTCTTGGTGCCAAATTAAATTGGCATAGTCGATCAGTCAATTTGTTTTTCAAGAAAATGCAGGTATCTTTCCTCATCAAAACACCTTCATAAAATAGTGGACCAATGATTTTATTTTTCAATATACAACGCACCAAACATTAAACGATGTGCGTCCTTGACTTAGAATTTCCCTATTACATTGAGAATTTTCATTTGCCTAGGTATGAGTATTTTGTCTATTATAAATGCCAGCTGTTGTAAAAGTCGTCTCATCAGTCCATACAATCTTTTCAAAATAGTTTAGATCGCCATTTTTCAAGCGCAGCATTTCTTTGCTATACTCTAATCGTTGAATTTTTTAAATTTGGGGTGATTTTTTGGTACTGTGGACTCTTGTGGCCTTTCTACAATAATTTAATATTTGAATTTACTATAGTAAACCTCGAATGAATATTTGCTTACCTTGAAAATATAGTAATATAGTTAGTTCTAATTCTTCATTTGGAATAATTCTTCGTTTTTGTCTTCCAAAAGATTTTTGTTTCTCTAAAGCGCAATGTCGTAAAATGCAGCTCGAGTTGGAACTGGAAAGCCGGGATGCAAACGAGCATACTTGGCGCGCGCTGCATTCACATTATTATTATTTCTTTGTTAAAATAAAAATAGTTTGTTATAGGAAATAAATTAATGATGATAAATAAACTTCTGTCAAAGTCATTTGTTTGTTCCACGTGTCTCGTCCACAGCCACTGCGATCCGTCAGACATAAATTTCCCTCCTGTTTTTTTTTCAAAAATAGTTTTAAACTGAAATATGTCGAAAAGTCCTGAGTCAAACAGTAACATATTATATATTTTTGAAAAGAGAAAAATTTAACAAAGCTAAGTATGCAGTAATATATAGGGTGTTCCACTTAAAAAAAATTTTTTTCTTTAATTTAGTGATTTTCATTATTCAATTGTTTTTTCTAGTACTGTATTATAAAAATTCACAAAAAAGCTAAAATTTTTGTATTCAAAACTTTTTTGTAATTTCAATAATAAACTCACAATAAGTTGTCAGATTATAGTGACTAACCCTGTACAATGATAAACCGTTATGTCTACGCTCAAGATAATGTGAGCGCTGATTGGTTAATTAGAATCTCGTGAAAAATTACACCAATCACAGCCGGTGAAACAGAATGTTGCGTTTTATTTAAGGTTTGCAATGTCGTGGTCCGTATACTAGATTCCATAATCCTACATATATAATTTTGGGTTCGCCAAACACGAATTTGAGGTCAATTTATCACCAGCACCCACCATTATTGAGAAAATGAATAAAAAATTATGTTTCACGTTTACCAGAGATGTGATTTAAGGAAAAAGTGTTTTTTTTACATTAACGTTTCATTTGTAGCGAACTCTTTTGTCTTCAAAAGATACATCGTGGGTTCCTCTTTCTTGTTTTAGCTCTAACTGTACATTCTGTAACGGTAGTTTGTCATCATCTTCACGTCCCACTTAACCCTGATACATTTTTTCTCATTTCCTTTAAATTTTGGTGAAATCGTCCACCTTACTCTTCACTAGTCACCTAAGTTATCGGGGAGGTAATCCACTTGTAAATCCATAAACTGCAGTCGCAAGTTCATTAAAGTTGTTTGAAATTCTTTACTATTTCCGCGATTAAAGTTTTATAATTGTGACATTTGTGATTAGTCAAAAAGTTCTTGTTACATTTCTAAAGCTTTGCCATGCAGATTTCTCGGTTTCATTCATATTTAATACAATGTCTTATAATTGTTAATAATTTACTACAAAAAATTAAATTTAGTCTTCACGCAAGTACTTGCATATTTTGCAGTTTTTATAAAGATACAGATATATCTTTCGTATTTTACGAATTACAGAAATGGCTAAATGACAAAAAATATGCAAAATTTTATAGCGATCTCCGTGATTCGTTTGTTAAATTTAGTCCAAAAATTTTGAAAAACAAGTGAAATACTACTAAAAAAATAAATAGCATAAAATCGGTTTTCTTCGAATATCTTAGGAATTATTCGGAATTTTCTAAATTTAAAAACATATCCGTATCCTATTTCTAAAACAGCAAATAAAGCATTTCGTTTACTTTAGTAGTTACCTTTAGGTATCTTGAAACCGTATTTTAATTTTTCCAATACATTATGCATTGTGTAGTAATGTATATATCTAGGAACATTTATCTATTAGTTACTAAAACTAATATATTTTGTTTTTAAATGATTATCATGCAGACAACATAATCAGTAGATAAATATTGTACTAACCATTTAGGATCGTTTTCTGATAAATTTTGTTGACATTTAGTAAAAATGTATTTAAGCGTATCATCATATTCAACATTATTTCATGATGATGTGTGAATATTTAAACGAGAAGCGGAAGCTTTGAATATTTGAATACATTTTGCTTTGGGCTCCATAAAAATTTAATTTTACTGTAATATTATCACCAGCTGGTAAGTACATTCATTTTAATTAGTGAAATACATTTTTTCGCATTTCTTGAAATAATTTTAATCTCTAGTGCTGAAGTGAAACAAATTTAATGTTGTCTGTAATTATTTAATTTCTGCTACATTTTGATTAAAGTTTTTACAACGAAAACAGAGAGGCTGTCAAAAGGTTAGCATTTTGTTATGTGTGCTTACAGTATAATAATGAAGAATTATCTATTTTCTCAGTTTGAGATACATATTTGTGTTTCGGCAAAACTAAATTTGTAAAATCAACATTTTGGTGTAAGAGGCAGGAGGTTATTTATTTGAAATTAATATTTATTTCTAGTGTAGCAGAAATATTTAACTAAATGAAATAGTAATCGAAAGTTGATGTTTTGACTAATAAGTCATAATAACGTGCGATTAATCCAGAATAAATAATTTCAATTTTACCAACACGACCAAAATACCAGTCAAATTTTTTATCTGGTTGTCCAAGTTTGTTCAGTAATCTGCCGAAGGATTAAGACATTTTAATCCTGAGATACTTACAACGCAATATTTTGCACTTTCTAGATGAAATAAGAATTAATTTTTATTTTTAAAATTATGTGCTATACTGTTCATATCAGAAATATTAAATTGTATCAAATCTAGAATAGATATCGTATTATAAATACACTGAAATACACTTTAATACTTATCATGATAACGATTTGAATTTCATTTTTGTTATTTAGTGTGCAACAGTTTTTTTGGTTGTCATGCCTATGTAACGTAGTCACCGCCATGCGCCAGTTATACAGGGATGGCCAGAAGTACGGAATAAAATTCATATCTTTTGAATAAGTTATTTTTTTTAAAACGCCGAAACAAGTTAACTAATTTTGATTTTTTACCATCTTTCGGTTATATAATAATTAATTTTTCTTCAACCCCCAGCTACCCCTACTTTTTTTTCAAATGGAAACATAAGGCATGAGGGGGCTCGTTGAAAAGCTTATAGAAATCCGAATCCAGCCATACCAAATAAACAAGTTTTAATTTTTCAATAGCAAGGTTATTAGGGTTGTATAAAACACCTACTTAACAAGTGAACTAAAATTTAATTATCTTTAGTGTTATCCTCCATGAATTTGCACAGAATAAATTAAAGAATTTGAAACTGTACCTATCACTGCTAACGCAAAAAAGATATATTTTTTATGTTGCGTTTTTTTGGCACCACTTACTGGCCAAGCTTTCTGGTTAATTTTTCGCTTTAGTTGTAAATTGGAGTTTGAAACGTTACTATTGTGTCAAAATCAAGTTATTTACTGAATTGCAATGGTATTGTCGGAAAGGCAACGCATCGAAATCTTGATATTGCTTGAATGTGGAGACAAAATAAGAAGTCAGGCTGAAGTGCGCGATTTAGGGCCACTTGTTCATTGCCAGTTTAAACCTCGTTCAACGCTGAACTTCGTTTAACATATCTGACCCGCTTGTACATGAGTTGTTCAGCATTTAACTACCGTTAACCTCCCGTCAAGATAAACAACTGTTAGCCGCAGTTCAAGAGCCAGTCAAACGAAAGCTAACCTTAAAAATTGTGACTGCTACCTAGCTGTTATTGTCAGTATAGTGAATACATATTTATTTGTTGCAATTTGTTTTGAAAATGGCAAGAAATTATGAAAATATAACCGATGACGAAGATTTTTTGGAATTAATTGATTTGTATGAAAACCATAATGAAAACCGAAGAGCACAAAGAATTTATAGAGAGAAAAGAAATAATTTTAATATGTGGACAGAAGGTGAATTCCGAGAACGATATGCAGGGTGTTAAAAAAAGAGTGTAAAATATTTCAGGAGGTAATAATATGAACCAAAGTAAACAGAAAAGTCTTAATAAACATGGGTCCGCAAAGTAACGGTTGCGGAGATATGGAGCACTATTCGTTTTTCAAACATTTTATTTTATTAGGAATAAACCGACAAAGGAAGCTTTTAACAAACAAANTGCAAAAAATTTATCGATTTTCACCTTTTTTTTCACTTATTTTGAATAAAAATTTTTGAGCTAGAATTCCCATGAATAAAAAAATATATAATTTCGAGAAAAACGCTTTTGAAGATTTCCGAAAATCAGAAATTTGAGAAAGTTATAGTATTTTCCAATCAGTCAGCAATTTCAGCACGATATAACAGCCCTTTTTCCTCATAGGCATCATTTTGAGCTTGATTCTGTTCTTTTCTTGCTTAATAAGTGACCAGACTACCTGAACAAGCGCTCTGCCCTACCTGCTGTGCGCCCGAGCACTGACCCGATGGGCGTTCGGTTTTAGGTTCATAAAAGCAAAATGAATAGGCATTTTGTTTTGAAATTTTGGCAACGTATCTTGAATAGTTATAGTAACGATTTTTTTGAATCTCCTAATGTGGTTTCCCCCCCTTAAGGGCCACTTGTTCATTGCCAGTTTAAACCTCGTTCAACGCTGAACTTCGTTCAACATATCTGATCCGCTTGTACATGAGTTGTTCAGCATTTGAACTACCGTTAACCTCCCGTCAACGTAAACCACTGTTAGCCGCAGTTCAAGAGCCAGTCAAACAAAAGCTAACCTTAAAAATTGTGACTGCTATCTAGCTGTTATTGTCAAGATACGTATTTATTTGTTGCAATTTGTTTTGAAAATGGCAAGAAATTATGAAAATATAACCGATGACGAAGATTTTTTGGAATTAATTGATTTGTATGAAAACCATAATGAAAACCGAAGAGCACAAAGAATTTATAGAGAGAAAATAAATAATTTTAATATGTGGACAGAAGGTGAATTCCGAGAACGATATAGATTAACGAAAAATACTGTTAGGTTTTTAATCAATGAAATATCAGAAGAGATATCCAATCGAACGTCTCGGTAGGTGCCATACATTTCATTTTGAATGTTATGTAATATGTTATCTTTTTTTAGAACTCACAGTTTATCTGCAGCAGATATGGTTTTAGTGACATTAAGATTCTTGGCAGCTGGTTGTTTTTTAAAAGTTTCTGGAGATTGTCATGGTATTCATGAGAGTACTGTTAGTAGAGTAGTGAATAAAGTTACACGAGCCATTGCCGCTAAACATTTGAATTTTATCAAAATGCCATCAAGTCTAGAAGAAATTAGTGCTGTTAGACAAGGTTTTTTCATGAAAGCTCGCTTTCCAAAATGTATAGGAGCAATTGATGGTACACATATAAAAATACAAGCACCTAATGTAGAAGAGCCCGAAGTATTCCGTTGCCGAAAAGGTTTCTTTTCATATAATGTACAAGCTGTGTGTGATGCGAGTTTAAAAATTCGGAATATTGTGTGCAGATGGCCTGGTTCTGCACACGACAGTACGATCTTCCAAAATTCGAATCTACGTACTAGATTTGAAATTGGTGAATTCGGTGATAATGTGTTAATTGGAGACAGTGGATATGGAATAAGAAATTATTTAATTACACCACTGAATAATTCAATAACACGTGCCGAACAATTATTCAATGAATCCTTGATACGGACCAGAAATACAGTAGAAAGGACATTTGGAGTTTGGAAGAGAAGGTTTCCTATTCTTTCATCTGGTATTAGGCTAGATTATCGAAAAGTTGAGGCTATTGTTGTTGCTACAGCTGTTCTACACAACATAGCTATTGAGCAGAATGAACCTCTCTTAGACATGGATGGGGCCATTGAAATGGAAGTACATTTCGACAACGAAGAGAAAAATCAAAATGATATAATTGCTGGACAGAACAATACACGAAATAAAATAGTTGATTATTTCCAAACATTATTGTAGATATTTGTATATTTATTATGATTTGGACATAGTTTTATACATTTAATTTAGAAATAAAAGCCAACTGTAATGAGATAATTTTAATTATACTGTAATTTATTTTTTAATATTTCCATTTCTATGTCGTGCTTTTCTTTGTCTAGCCATACGCTGTTCACTTTCTATACTTAAAACCTCCATCTGTTTTGCATGTATTTCCCGTATTTTTAAATCATGCTCTTCCTAACAACACCTCATTTTCAAATCTTCAAAATCTGATTTTGAAGCTGCCCACTTCTCAAGTTAAACCCCTAATGTGTTTTTTTTGGTGTATTATGCATTTGTAGGGATTTATATTTCATTTGGCTTAACATATCTGGTGTATATTAGGCCCAATTATTCTCATTCATTTCATTAACTGCAAATAAAATTATTAAGTAGGTATTTAATCTACCATTATTTTAGGAATACAACGTACCATCTTCATGATTATTTTCACTTGATGTGGAGGGACCATCTACTGTAAAAGTTTCAGGAATATCTAGAAAAGCATGTTTTTTATACTTATATACCTTGCTCCGTTTACAGTAAGATCACTGTTGAAGTATCGTCACCAGTAGCACTGATATCTCTCGCTGACACTGTTTCTTGAGAAATGGGAAAACCTTCAAAAGTAATATTAATTAATGGTAAATATTATATACGATTAAATCTACAAACTTATAGTATCATCTCCAAATTCACTTTGCATTCCTTTAGCTCGGACACCCAGTAAATCTAAAATTTTTGTTTCTGTTGAATCCATTTTACTTTCAATGTAAGGCCCCCCACCAGTACGCAAGAGTGCCTGCCTTTCTTCAGCTGCCTACATTTTTAATGATTAATAAGATTTAAAAAATATTTATTTAGATGGGTATCACCTTATGTTTTGTGCGTTTCTTCAAATTCTCATATATTTTTTTAAAGGCTTTGCATCCCTAAATGTTTCTCCAGATACAGCATTAAATTCTTTTGTAAGGCCTACCCATGCTTCTACTTTTTTTCGGTTCATTACCGTATCAGTTTTCTTACACTCTATTATTTCCATTTACTTATATACAATATCTAATAATATTCTTTCCTCATTTTTGCTGAAATTATTTGAACGTTTGTTGTTGTTATTACTTGCCATTTTTAAGTTCTTTTGAACTACCAAGAATGAAGTGTTTATTGGT